AGCAATGTATTAAAAAGACATATGATGAAGTGCGGCGGTCGGGAAGTACTTCTAGTGATGCAAGATTAGCGAAGAATTGGGGAAACAATTCCCTAGCTTGGCGAACTGGCGAAGCAATCGTGCCCCCGCTCAAGGTGTCTAGCGATATCATCGGTAATCATCTCGAGCTACTCACTAGTAGAAAAACAACCTTTTGTACCGGTTCGTAAGGACCTTTAGTGTCGGTTCTATAACCTGCACTAAAGGTGGGGGCTAAAGGTACCCCCCCCTCTTTAGTCTCGGTTCAACACGAACCGGGGCCAAAGGCCCACCACGTGGGACAAGCCCACGCGGTGGACTGGGGGACCTTTAGTACCGGTTGGTAACACCAACCGGGACTAAAGGATTTTATTTTAAAAAAGATTGATTTTTATTTTTTCAAATTTCTGAATTATTTGATGATTTAGTCCCTAATCACCCTTCATCATTTCAAATTGTCTAACGTCCCGGCCGGTCACCCATCCTCTCACTACTCCAGCCTGAGCACGCTTAACTTCCGAGTTCTATTACCCCTTGTTTCCAAGTCTGCACTTGTTGTTTACCTCACAGTAGTAAGTTGTCAATCCTATTAACCCTCAGGAGTTTAGCTTGAGCATGAAGTCACACGTTTCACCGTTTGAGTTTGATACTATTATTCTAAAAAATAATAATTATTTAGTAACACTAATATTTCTTGAATAAGTAGTTTGACCATAGTTTGACCACAGTTTCACCAGATTTGACCATAGTTTAACCACAGTTTGACCAAAATTAAAAAAACTAAAATAGTTATTTATTAACACTAATATTTCAAGAATAAGTAGTTTGACCATAGTTTGACCATAGTTAGAACTGAAATTTGACCATATATTTTTTTCCTTTCATGCAGATTTTTTTGATATATTATGCGTGTTTTTTTTTGACATCGTATGCAAAAGATATGGTCGTTTTACCTTTTCCTAACACTTTTTTGCAAAACATATCGAAAGATATGTTTTTAAATTTCCCTAAATACTAGATGTAGTAACATAACTACATCTCAAAGGATTTTAATTTTTGAAGTTTTTATCATTTTCTTTTGGTTTCTTTTCAAAACAGAAAAGGCTATGGGGGGGGGGGGAGTTTGAAAATTGCCCTATAGTCCCGGTTTGTTTCTCCAACCGGGACTAAAGGTTAGACCCCTTTAGTCCCGGTTTGTGATACAAACTGGGACTATAGGTTGGCCCTTTAGTCCCGGTTTGTGTCACAAACCGGGACTGAAGGGGCTTGTGGGGCCGCGGCCTGACGCCAGCCTGCCACCACCCCTTTAGTCCCGGTTTGTGATACAAAACGGGACTATATATATGTCAGAAATGAACCGGCACTAATGCAAAGCCGTTCGAACCGGGACTAATGGTCACATTAGTGTCAGTTCATTTACAAACCGGGACTAAAGGGCTAAACATTAGGCCCTTTTTCTACTAGTGACTACCCGGTACCAATCTTGGTGATTACCTGGGCGGTGATGTACAGTTCAAACCGTTAGAGGTAGTAGAGATCTTCAGATACGAGCACGGGAAGCCTCTCGTGAAACCTGATCATCCTCCTCTAACAATGATGATGTGAAGATTGCATGAATGGTACATGGATACCTACATGAAGTCTGGGACCGATAGTATGTTGCTAGCAATCAAAGAAGAGCACGACCTCATTGGAGTCGACCTGCTGCCCGTTGAATTTGTGGAAATATTTCAGTTATTGAATCAATAGGCCATCAACAAACAACTCATGACTTGCTACTGTCTGTAAGTATTACTTCTGTAATTAAGTCTCTAGCTCAGCTCCTTCATTGCATGTATATATAATTATCCTCACTATAGTATGCAGATTGAAGATCATCGAATGCAAACAAGGACAAATCTATTACATTTGGTTCATTAGCCCAAATACCGTAAATGAATGGTTGGTAAAAGAGAGAGCCAAACTTACTGAGAAAACTTGCTAAAATCGTTCCTTCGACATCAAAACAAAGGGAAAATAATCTTTCCTTACAACTTCAAGTGAGTGTTACTGTCTTGTAAATATTGGGTTTCGCTTACTCGAGGTTAAGTAATGTAATTGATGAGTTATGCGTGCGCAAGTTCCACTTTATTCTGCTAGAGATTAAGCTTGACAGGGGAGTAGTAACTGCCTTAGACTCGAGACGTAAAGAGCCCCAGGAGTATATAGACATGACTGCAATGCTCCAGAAGTAAGTTCAATCATTATCGCATCATATCGGCAACTTTCTTTCATTTCCTCATATCAAGTAATCATTTTCTTTGCTTGGCAGGGTTTGGAAAAAGTCACCGAAATGGTTCCGGGTCTGCAGAGGAAGCTGTGATTTACGCACACAAAAGTTAATAGTACTAGCTAGTTCCACGCATCTCTCATTGATTCTAGTTTCATCATTACCATTTATCATGCTTGATTATTAGTTTGGTTGAATTCTATTTCTCGTAAAGTGCTTGTGGCAGGAAGGCGGCAATGATTTATATGGATACTACGTTTGCGAGTTCATCCACCACTCGACCTCTGAGCGGGGCTACCCTGACAAACAATATGAAGTACGTAAACAATTGTGTTAAGTTTCATTCATATATATATATGTATTGACCCCCTTCTTTAAATTAGATGTGGCAGATGCAGGATGAACTCCTACCACATGATCGCATACGAGCAAATGAAGAGGAATTGGTGTGATTCTTTCTTGACAACGTCATACATAAAGACGGAAAATACCATGTGGAAATTGAAGCTGATTATCGGTATATGATGTCAGGGATCGTAAGAGGTGTTATATTGTAGATATGTAGTAGCGTCGGATAGAAATACTAGAACTTGTTGTTCGACCAATCTCGGAGAAAGAGAGGTCACTTCTCTCTGTATATGTTTATGACGATCTTGTGTATAATGCTTCCTCATTTTCTTACTAGCGTTGAGTTCTCTCTATATGTAGTAGGTAGCGTCGACCAAGCACGGAGAAATAGAGGTCACTTCTCTCTATATGTAGTAGCCATAGCTAAGACAATATGAAACCCCTAACTAACCATCCAAAACCCCTAATAAACCCCCCTTCCAAATAAAAATCCAGCACCTGGGAGCTGCTGATGCGTGGCTGCCCTTTAGTCCCGGTTTGTGTTACTAACTGTAACTAAAGGTTCCTCCTCCCTGGCGCCCCAGAGCGGCCACGTGGACCTCCTTTGGTCCCGATTCGTAAGCAAACCGGGACTAAAGGTTTTGGGCATTAGTTCGGTTTGTTTTGTCCCGGTTTCAGAACCGGGACTAAAGGCCCTCTCGAACCGGGACTAGTACCCTGTTTTCTACTAGTGATCTGATCATAATTAGTTGAGATCTTTTGTTGTCCTGTATATATAGCATGCAGAAATTGTTCCCAACATGGAGCAACTAATGCAAAATTATATATATAAATCCGCCGTATGCCTTTAATTGACATATCATTACTTTGGTGAATTTCATCGGCAAAATTTAAGAGTATCTACGAGTAAAATTAAATTTATCATTCGGTCACACCCAATGCATTACTATCCTAAGCTATATCATATGCATTAAATATGTATTTAGATATAGCTCCTCCTATTGATTGCAACTTTGTTCTTTTATCAAAAAGAGCTCACATTTAATGTGTTTTGGGAGAGAAAAATATATAACTTGTGTTGGTTTTAGTGCTAAGAGCTATATCTGCATTAAGATATGGTAACTTTTCTTTTTCTCAATAAATAGGATGCCATAACATATTTTTGCTTAATCGTCGTTATGATGTTTGGAGCGTCTTTTGAGTGTACATGACAACACTACATCCTAAAGATAGATATGCATCGTCTTTTATGCTGTATCCACAACATCACATCATGCAGATAGAATTGCATCATCCTATCTATCATAGAGCTGTATTTGTTTACTTCTGAGGTCTGACCCATCCATGGCCATGGGTATAAGAAGAATATGGTGCCGCTGATCCATTTGTACCGCTCGCTTCCTTCCTCATACCATTTGTTTCAGGAGACATGGGTGTCTTCATCAAGGTGCCAGTCCTATGCCTGCTGCTGCTGCTCATGCCACTCCTTTCGATCATCCCAGGTAAGCTCTTGCCATGATTTTTAGCTACCATAGCGCTTTCTCGATGTACGATCTACTATGTATCTGGTGATGCTGGCTGGATCTGAAGTTCATACCTCATGACTGATGTTAATTTCTTTGTGAAACATTGTGTGGGATATTATATATCTGATGCTACGATGTTCTTATCTCCTTTTGTTGTTGCAGGGTCTGATGGTCTACATTGTGCGGAACCCAGCATGACATATACTGGTCCTTGTGAGGATCGGCCATGCGTTGAGCACTGCCGCAAGGAGTATTACACCTTCGGGTTGTGCATCAGTTATGCGGGGACGAACGACGTGAAGCGGTGCTTCTGCTGTAGCTGAACAAACAAACCTTGACCACCACCAGCAGCTGTTACTGCAGAAAGTGATGTAGTATTCTCTGTGGAGGGAAACAATAATAAAGTGTTTGGTTTTACAAAGTCTCCGATACAAAAGATTTGACAAAAGACCGGTCAAAACATTGTATGAAATATATTTCGAACAACAAATTTAACCAACATATAACAAGCCTCTTCGTCATGTGCCCATTGATCGATAGAAAGATGGCTGATGTTTCTTTTTTCTGTGGGAAAGAAAGAGGGCTTATGTTAGCTACAGTATGTACATGACATAGGTGCAGGCTTCAGCATCTCTGCATTGTCCGTCCTGAAGTACAGCCATTTCAAGATCATCATCAATCACGACATGTATCATCATTATCTAGTACCCTCTCCGTCCCATAATATAAGGTGTTACTACTCCCCCTCCACCCTCCCCCCTCCTCAGGGCCGCCTCCTCCTCCCAACCCTACCCGCCCTCCTCCTCCCCCCTTCCCCTCCTCCCTTGGTGGCGCCAAGGATGGTGGCGGCGGGGCCTCGGTTGCCCTGCTCTTGTGTGGGGAACCCTGGATCTGGAGCGGTGGCTCCATTGGCAAGGCACGGCCGGCTAACAGCCATGCTGGTGGTGGATCCGGTGTCCCGGCCGCGCGGGCGGCGGGATCCGGTGGTCGCTGGCGGCCGGCGGCGGCTTCTGCGGCGGTCGGTGTGCACGATCTGGCGCGTCCATTCCTCCCCTGTTCGGCGTGCGGGCCAGCCTGGTCTGGTCGCGCTTCCTCTTGGTCGCCGGTTCTATACAGGAGGTGCTGCTGGTGGCGGAGATCTAGTTCGGGTGAAATCTCTGGCCTGCCATGACCGGCCGTGCCGACGGCGACGCCTGAAGGCGCCGTTTCCCTCCTTGGAGGCGTCGGTATGGACTAATCTCCTCACTTCACCTTCTCCTAGGTTGCCCGGGCGAAATCCCTAACTCTGTTGGGCGGCGGCTGCGCTCAGGGCGTCGTTCCCTTCTTGAAGGCGCCGCTTTGGAAACCTTGGGGTTGGGTGGCGCTTGTGGGTGGTGGGCGAGAGTGGTGGTGCGGCTCTTTCCTAGCATGGATTTATGACTGTTGCTTGGAGATGGAGTCGCGTAGGTGGAGGTCGTCGGCTGGCGTCGTGGTGGCGTCAATGGCAGAGGACCTGCCAAGGCTCGCGTAGGTGGAGGTCGTCCTTTGACGTCGTGATGGCGTCGATGGCGGAGGACCTGCCAAGGTTGTCACCTCAATCTGTTCTTAAGATGGACCAATGAAAGATGGCGGCGACGATACATGTGAGTGCGTCACACCGGTTTGAGCCCCAGAACCGACAGATAGTTGTCACCTCTATCTCTCCTAAGCATCATTACTCGATCTCTCACCTGAATAATATCTGGCCGTTCTTCCATAGCTACATTTCGGCACTCAAGAGCCAGCTTATGTACCTATTTCTTCAAGAGTACATAAGAAGGTACAACTATGTGCTCCAAGAAATATATAATAGTTGTATTTTTTTGGTATTGCATAGTGGACGAATAGATACACATGAAGACACCTTTTAACACACGTCTAACATCTGGCAGAGATCGATGATATATCCGTGAATCTTAGAATGTTTATGTTAATAAAGCACCCCCATGTGCATGTAGCACCAGGATTTGAATCCTTATGGGTCTGATTTGTGCCCCCACAACTCAACTATCTTACTCTTTGTTGAAATACAACTCAACTACCTTACTAATTAAGAGGTGTTTTCAAAAATAAGTACATGTGCAAAATCAAAAAGAAAATAAGAAATGGTATTTCTAATAAAGAATTAAAGACTTTACATAATTATTTGGAAGTTACAATTTAGCTTGGATCAAACACTTAAATTATTCCTACATTCCCATTTTCAGAATATCCCTTGGCTCCTGTTAATATCTCCATTATGACGGCACCAAGGCTACATATGTGATGCGGAGCATCCTTCGGTCATCCCCATGGACCTTCCATCGACTATCCAAGCTCCAAGTGGACCCATGACAAGAGCAAGGGCTCGTGAGATATTCAATCCGAGGTGACATCACTCCTACTTGAGTCCACCTTTTCTTCCAGTGAGACATGGCTACTGCCTAAGTCCGAGATGCTATGCGTGATCAGGTACAACGCTCAAGCCACGGAGCCAGGAGCTGGAGAAGAAGCGACAGGCGTCAACTCTCTGGATAGCCTGGAACTTCCGGCCAGAGCCCGGAACTTTTGGCCCCCGGAACGTCCGGCCACCCCGGAGCTTCCGGCCTCCTTCGACATCGACCAGCCCGGGCGTGCCAACTCTCCGGTTAGCTCGGAACCAGCCCGGACATTCCGACCCCCGGACGCCAGCCTGGCTCCACCCGCGCCAACTCTCGGCTTAGGCCGGACCTTGCCCGGAACCTCCGGCGCCCGGAACTTCTGGCCCTGCCTGCGCGCAGCCACTTGGGCCGAGGCCCGTGTACCCTTTCGCCCCGTAAACTATATATACTCTTCTCCTACCTACGTTTTAGGGTTAGCATTGTGATAGCTCATCTTGAGATAGAGCATAGCTCATCCATACCGGATCTACTCCATGTGAGGGACCGTGCCTCCTCGGAGAAGATCCATTCAGATTCAAGGCCTCCATCCGAAGAAGACAATCAAGACCTCCTCACGAAGAAGAACGGTTAGTCTTGTATCTTCCCTTTGTTGATTTTGAATCTTGTGCTACCTTATGTTTTCGGTGATCTAGCCCTTGTGTGATCAATTACTTGTCGGTTGATTGATTCTCTCGTTTCTCCCCGTGTTTTCCCTTGTGTTCTTCCGTGCATTCTTCATGTTTCTCCATAGGATCCACTCCAAACATGAAAGATCGGCCCCTATGGTTCTGCCCTACATCATCTTGGTATCATGAGCCACGTTGATCACGTTTTTGGAGCCCCTACCCTTGGTTTTCTAGCTTGATTTTTTTGTTTTCCTCCTAATTCCGAAAATTCCCCACCAAAAATAGCCCCAATTATTTTTTGTGATTTGTTTGTGTGATGAAATTTTGTTGGATTTGATCCATGGATATGCTTTGCTTCCAGTGGATCTACCTTCCCTACCCTTCTCCCCCCCTAATTTCTTCTTTTTCCCCTCGGATTTGGGTTTTCCCCCCAAGTTTTTCCGCCCGAATCCGCGATCCCGAAGTCTCTGTTCTTGGCAGATTCCCCACCACCGGAACTTCCGGCCCCTCCTAGAACTTCCGGCCCCCGGACCTTCGGGCCATCCCTGGAGCTTCCGTCTTGCCTGAAACTTACGGTCTAGATAGAAAGGTTGCGCATCTTCGACGACTTCCGCTACTTCGGCAACTCCGACCACAGTGCAGCGGCATCTTCGCCAACATACTGAAGACTGTGCACTACGACACCATCTACATTCGCATCCGTTTGGAACCCTCAACCGTAAGCAAGGACGGTAATCTCGACGACATCTTTGTCCAAACCTTGCCATTGCATTGATAAACATCATAGCTCATCTTTTGCATTGCATACCCATCGAGAGTAGCCATTGAGTATTGCAGGTAACATGACTTATGCACATTAGTGATCATACTCCATAGCATACATACCATACCATAGTGGTGCATATCTTGGCATCAACTTGTGTGTCACAAAGTTGTCATCGCATACACAATTGCTATCTTGGTTCCTGAAGTTTTGCATGAGAAAAGAGCTCAAAAGTGAAAGAGCCACCCAAGCTTTGAAGCAAAGAGGAAAGATAAGAAAAGAGCTTATGAGCAAGAACCATACCATCATTCTACATTAAGATGTCATATTGGATCATCTTGGATCATAGCACCGAAATACCATACATATATCATACTTGGGATAGAGTTCGTTGCATTTTGCCCTAGTAGGTTGTGCACAATTTCTGTATCCGCCTATTGTGCAATCGTGCTAGCGTCTCTCTAGTATTGTGCAACAAGAGCATTTTCGTGGTTTCCACATTCTGGCTCACTTTTGGTTTGCATAATCCCACTTATCTTTTTGCGTGTGTGTTTCTGTGTACCCCTAATTGCTTGGTCTACTTGTTGCATTTGCAAATTTGTGAATCTTTTCCAACATTATTGAAGCTCACTTTTAATTGCATCAAATTTTGTGCCACCATTCTAACCAAGCTCCACCATAAGCTTTTACTTGTGTAGGTGTGAGAACCGACAAGGATTGGTACCAACAGTGCTATTTCATTGTCGGCATTTGAGTGAACTTGATTCATCATCAACATCGGTCAAGGTACATTGGTATAAGTTCTTCTCTTTCTACCACTCACATTTTGCTTGGAATGATGGATACACTACTAGGGAAAACCCTATACACAGAATCTTAGCAGCAGCGCAGCTCAAAAAGGAGTGCTGCTGCTAATTAGCAATAGCGTCGGTGTGTAAAACCCGCTACTGATAAGCGTTTAGCAGTAGCGTGCTTGGTGTTAACCGCACTGCTACAAATATCGACCGACAGTGCCCCTCAAACTCCATTTAGCAGCAGTGCGGTGCCGCGTACCGCGCTACTGCTAAAGCTTTAGTAGTAGCGCGGTTTTTCTAAGGTCGCTGCTTTCAAATTGGACACACTTTTTGTCCCGGTTAGCAGTAGCGCTTCTGCCGAAAGCGCGCTGCTGCTACTTTCTTATCAGCAGCGCGTTTTACGTCCCGCGCTACTGCTAATCTGCACCAACCCACCACCTTTTCCCCACCCGTCCCCTCCCCTCCCCCTCCTATCTTCCCTTTCCCCTACCTCCTACATCCTCCCACTCTCACTCTTCTTCTTCCTCAACACTTCTCCCCCATTACTCTCCCTCTTCTACCTACCTTTCTCTCTCTTCATTACTCCTACCTAACTACACCATCTCCATTAATGCATCTCCTTTCTCTTTTTCCTTCCCCCTCCACTAGTTGAAGTTGTCTCCTCCCAGATAAGGTAGCTAGGTAGATGTAGCATTTAGTTAAGTGACCTATTTGCTCCCTAACTAGATCTAGCTTTGTCAAGAAGAGCTTTGTGTACTTTTGATCTCCCTACATCATCATCTCATCACCATGTGCTCGATCTCGAGATAGAGGTGATTAAAATTTCATGCTTTTGCCAAATGGAAATATGTTTATGTGTGTGTGATATGTTTATGGAAATTGTGTGTGTGGCATGAGTTGACGACAAATTGTGCTTTTGAGTTGCCTATGTTTTGCCGAAATGTCGATTTATTTCCGTTTCGGCGAATTCCGGGCAAACTCTAGATCTATATATGTCCTATTTTTAAGGAAGGTCATGCCGAATTTTTGTATGACTTTGATGCATGCACGCATTTTTATAATCAATTTGTTTATTATTACCGTGCAGAGTTGATGATAGTCAGTAGAACGATGGTGGACAGGTGGTTGTGGTCGGCGGTGCAGGACATGAAAGAAAATAACCGGACAGAGGTTTTATGTCCGTGTCGAAAATGCAAAGGAATAGTTTGGCTCGACCCCCATGATGATGGTCGTGTCGGAGCGCACCTGCTCATGACTGGTTTCATGGATGGCTATACTCGGTGGATAATTGAAGACGAGGATGACGATGTTGACAATGCCGATGGGGCAGGCAATGATGACACGGGGCAAGACGAAGAGATGATCGATAATGGGGGCGGCAAAGAGGCCGGACATGGCAGCGGAGAAGGGGCCGGACATGGCGGAGGAGAAGGGGCTGGACATGGCGGCGGAGAGAACGACATGGACTCCACGCAGCAGAGTTCGTCGGTACTAAGTTCAATCATGTGGGACCCTCATGTTCAAGCATTGCTTCGCAAGGAGATGAGTACTGAGAGAGCTACTTCTAGAGAGGAGGCTAAGCTGGAGCAATTGGTGGTAGACTCGAACACTCCATTGTATGATGGTTGCAATCCTGAGGTGACCCGCTTGAGTTTCATGCTCCAACTCCTGAAGACGAAGGCT